AAATAACCCCAGGATTTATATAAGCCTCTCGGCTATATAACGCGCCATTTTTTTTATATATACCACATTGCCCTTAAATAAATGGTGGCGTCCGTCAGTAAAGATCAAGGTCTAATGTTGACAGATGATTTCCAATGAAAATACGTTTTTTGGCAAATTTAAGACATTTTAAGACTTGTGGCAGAAAAAAATACTGAAGACATTTTAAGACTTTTTAGGTTATGTACAAACCCTGCACATGCACGCACGTAGAACACGCAAATGTACTCTCTCTCTCTCACACACACACAACACACCACACACACACACACACACACACACACACACACACACACACAACACACACACACACACACATACACATACATACATACATATATATACACATACACATACACACACACACACACACACACACACACACACACACACACACACACACACACACACACACACACACACACACACACACACACACACACACACACACACACACACACACACACACACACCACACACACACACACACACACACACACACACACACACCACACTCATCAACTTACACATACACATACACACTACACATACACATACACATACACATACTACTCACTCACTCACTCACTCACTCACTCACTCACTCACTCACTCACTCACTCACTCTCTCTCTCTCTCTCTCTCTCTCTCTCCTCTCTCTCTCTCCTCTTCTCTCTCTCTCTCTCTCTCTCTCTCTCTCACTCACTCACTCACCCACTCTCTCTCTTTCTTAACCCACTGTTGATTGCAGCTAGTTTCATAAGCAAGCGAATTTCCTGTCAGTTTAGGGTATTATATTACCTGGGATCTGATTGTCCTGTCTCACTTCTCTTAACCAAAAAAAGCACCTTTTTCTCAAACTCAAGTTTAATAGAAAAACTGAGCAGATATTAGCGATAAAAATTTACTTGATGACTGTCAATATTTTCCAGGAGGTAAATAGTTTGTATATGGAAAAATAAGGAGGAATATAGTTATCTTTTGTAGGAATGTCTTCACTTAGTACCATGAAAATGGAAAAATACCGTTTATGCAATTTCATTTTTTCAAAATATATATCAGCACTGAAATACTTTTACTTTACACAGGGGAATGAAATGACAAATTTTAAATTGAATAAAACTATTGATAACACTTGTAATGCTCTCCAAAAATAAGTGAAAAAAGAACAAGTAGATAAATAATTTCTGGTCTATTGCCCTCTATATTTCACATTCCACAAGTGTTCAAAGCCTATAATAAATACTACACCATTCAAGGTGTGCTAGATGGTAACTACACATATAAAAGTCAAAATATAATACTTAAATAGTTTATTCCTATAAACATACAAGACATATCACATGCATCTAGTTAAGGTTGGTTATTGTTCAACTGAGAAGTGAAGCATCAGTTTTGTCTCTCAATGTCTTCATTCAAAAAAGAAGCAGAGTCTATAAATGCTTATAGTGTTCATTCCCCATGTAATGCAATCAAAACATAATGCCATTTTCCATAATTAGGCTTTACTTTAGACCACCTTAATGTTCACCATTACCCACCATTCACAATTTCAAAAGGCTTCACATACATGAAGCCAAGGGATAAGAACTATAAGGTTGAATGAAGATTTCTGGTTGTTTCATCCGTACTTAGTTTATTACACTTATCCCTCACCGTTCTAGGCACAACTGGCTATGGAAAAGTCTTTCTTCCTTGAGGAATCTCGGCAGGAACTAAATACACTTGCAAAATCTAATGGGAAAACTGGATTCAAGTCATATATATCAGGAGCATAATTAAAATCCTACTTGGGAACTTATTGTGTGCATATTGACATTCTTGTGTGCAAAAAACATATCTGAACTTAATTTAATTTAGTTAAGAAAAAAAAATAATATAAAGTAGAATACAAAGCAATGAGCAAACATGAAAGTCAATGTATTGGTTCACAACATAAAAAAATACTATGGTTTTGTGTTATTTCCCTCATAATATTTTGCATTGTAAAAAATTCTATATATTACCATCCTTTGTATATCTAACCGTCATTTGTCTCTTAATCCAAATATAACCTAGTAAGTACCAGAAAACTGTCAAGGTTCGGTGAAACCTGTTCATTTATAAAGCATTCAGTACAATTTCATATACAACAACAAACAATATGCTCAGTCTAGGAGGTTCTACCTCTTACAGTAATCTAAGCACATATATTATAAAAAGCAAGTCCTATCTCTTGTAACACTTCTCATAATTATCAAAACAATCAACAGATATAAAATTTAGTTTCATTCAGTCAGTATTTCAAAACATGTTAAATATACCTTATATTATCACCACATACATGTAAGAACATATATAAGTACAGTACCTTCAATTAACAATATCTTTATGGGAAAAAGTAATTACAAAGTACAGAAAATAGGATACAAAACTTATTCTAGTCCTAGAAAATTAAAAATACATATTTCAAAGCAAACTTTCGAAAAACCTCTCAGCCTAAAGTTCAAGTGAATATCTGAGAATCTTTATTCCTAATAACAGGAATTCAACCACATTCCACAAGGAATATGATTTTGTCAATTCTTATTTGCAGCAATACACCCCTCTGCAAATGATAACCACACACAAGACCTCTCTGCATACAAAAAAAAAATACGAATGATTAAATTATGCTCAAGGAATTATTGTAGTTCTTAAAATTAATGTTACGCAAACCATAACAAAAGAAAGCTGGTGTATTTAATCGTCCCTTTCTCTCCTTAGGTGATATGTTCTATAAAAATAAATTCTGACTTAAAATATAATGTAATAACTTTGAAGACCTTTTTAAATACAACAAACAATAAATTTCTCATTCTGATTTTACAAATAATTCTCTGTAATTTTATGCGTCCTTGTGGTGTATCATGAAATTTAAAATATTGTACATTGTACATACACAATGAATAAGTAATGTGAATCAATTAACAATACAAAAGAACATGTACAGAGCTTATCAAGACAGTTTTTACCAAAATCACAAATTAAACTCTTTCTATGATAACTATAACAAATTAATTCACAAAGTGAAAAACTAGACTTAAAAATAATAGCTGCATCTTTCAAAATATATCTGTACCCAAGACCTTCTTGACTGCAAAATTTACAAAACATTATGAATTACGGTATTTTTTTAAACAGTAAAAAAGAAAAAAAAAATTTACTCACTACTTGCTAATTACCCATATACTACTGTCAAGGGGAAATAGTTTCCTTTACATTACCTTTATCCAGGAGTATTACATTACCTACCTCCATGTTGGTCAGTGAAAATGAACGTCCCCCCCCTTGTGTTAGCAACACTATTTAAACACGGCATGAAAAACTTGTACATAACATTACTTCCCCAAAACATAAGAACAAAGTGCCTTAAGTACAAGCCTCTAAACATATATGTTAGAAGTACAAGTCATAATACATAGTTTTAATTACTATTTCTTGCTTCCTATGTTACCATCACCCAAGAGAAAAGTGAAGTGATGTCCAGAGAGCATTGTTATTCCAAAACATTATTCCTGGATTAAATGAAGATTTTGAACACAAATCTTATCTCTTTCATCGTGTTTCTTTTCATGTATTATTTCAGAAAATATGATACACTGTATTACACTCAGTTATATCCCAAATACAAAACACTACGTTAAATAGTTTAATGGCACAAATTAATATAATTTGCATACTCATTTCAAATGGTATCTGGTGTGGAAATAATTAAATTAATTAAATTACCATCTGCATGCATGTGTGTGTGAGTGTGTGTGTGCGTGTGTGTGTGAGTGTGTGTGTGTGTGTGTGTGTGTGTGTGTGTGTGTGTGTGTGTGTGTGTGTGTGTGTGTGTGTGTGTGTGTGTGTGTGTGTGTGTGTGTGTGTGTGTGTGTGTGTGTGCGCGCGCACTTATGCGTGTGCGTGCGTGTGCGTGTGCGTGTCTTGGGTCTTGGTTCTGGGTCTAGGTCTGACGAACAGATGGTTTGGACCTGAGGTTCCCTGGGTCTCTGAACACTAAAAATTGTTTTCATCAACTATAATCTTATTCAGTTCCAAGTGGGAAAGTCTGTCACCTACACAAGAATCAATGTATGGCACAAACATGTACACATTCAACATACTCATTTAATTACTCACTCATTCTCTATCTTCTTTCTTTTTTTTTCTCTCTTTCCCTTTCTTTTACTCACTCACCAACCCACCTGCTTGCCTGCCTGCCCACTAACTCACTCATTTACTCAATAACTTACTCACCCATTCATCCACACATTCACGACTCACCCACTTGAGTACCCATCTACCCACCCACAAACCAACTGACCCAGCCTAAAATCCACACACCCACTTTCTCTCTTACAAGCCACTGGCTCTCGCACTTATATTCAACCTTGCTCTCGCGCGCACACACTCACACACTCACACACGCATCCACGCCCTGTCTCTCTCTCAAACATGCTCTCATGACATTTACAAAAGGCTCTTTTTCTTCTTTTCTTAGCCTGTTCACAACGATGTAGTATTCTAACATACACCACAAGTCTATTTACATAAAAGTTATCAAAAGATGATAAAAAAAGGCAGTAACAGTGACTATAATAATATTACCATCTATACAAATTGGCAAAAATAATGATGAAAATATTATTTTCATAATAAGAGAATAATACAATAACTACATTTGTGATAACAATAAAAGCAATAATATAAATCAATGATGATTATGCTTTTAAGTAGCAGCTATGATAAGGGCTGCTGTCATGGGTTGCAGTCATTGTAGTGGTAAAGATTGTGAAAATAATGATAGTGATAATGATGATGATGATGATGATTGATGATGGTAGTGATGATGATGATGATGATGATGATGATGATGATGATGATGGTAATGATGATGATGATCATGATAGTGGTGAGGTGATATCAATAATGCTAGTAATGATAAATGAAAAATAAAATAATATCATAAGTAAAACCAAAAGACAAAAATGGCACATCTGAACAGACAATAAAAAAAAAGACAATAATGGTGATAGTGTTGAGGATTATAGTGATAACAATATCAATAATAATCATAACACCAATAACATTAATGACAAAATAAAGAATCAAAACAAAAATACTGTCACTCACATACAAACATAGTGAAGAGACACCCAAAATGGTTCCACTGCAAGTACAATTCCATCTCCAAACACAAATCAAATGAGCAAATATATATCACATGTACAAATACTTTGTGGTAACTCCAAGCTAGCACCATCAGCACCAAAGTACCAGAGAATACCACACAATATTATTCACAGCCGCGCACATCTAACATTTATTTCCCTCTGTCCTAGGCGACCAGTGTTCCATTGTCAGGGGTGAGTGGTGCTGAGGTTACAATTCCTTCTGGTGGTGGCTGGTGCTGCTGACCAGAGTCCATATCTGGCTCTGAGTAAAGAATGGTCGTTGCTGAGGATGCTGGTGCTACACCATGTCTCGGGGAGGGCTCTCCACCTTCACTAACAGCCTCCCCAGGTGAGGGCAGGGACACTTTGCGAGGAACAAATGCTGCATGGTCTCTTATGCATGCCGTGGATGACAGCGATCCTGACCTTGCAGCTCGTCCTGTCGCTGAGGCATTGCTTGCTTCAGGGTGAGCTGCATCGGGAACCTGTGGGGTATCTGTTACAGGTGGTGGCTGAGCCTGACTGACCTTGTGTCTGCTCGAGTTATGAGCAGAGCGTGTGTGAGACCCCGTTCTTCCAGCAAGTCTCATTGCAGTCAAAGGCTCCAGTTCATGTGTGTCGGATGATGGATGTGTCTGTGGAGCTGGACACGATGTACTTGATGTGGATAATGTTGATTCACTCATGAAGGCTTGCTGATAAACTGTCTTATCAACATGAGGTTGAGAATTCTGTGTGCAACATGAGCAGCAATGAACCTGTGGATATGATAGTTGCCCGCAACCTGATTCTGGACCAAAAATGCGTAACAAAGGTAAATAAAACAAGGTGGCATAGATGTATGAAGCACTTGTGATGACAATGAGAAAAGTGCCAATATGAACATATGCCAAAACTTGTGCAGGAAGCATAGCTATCCCTGCTGCTAATGATGTTGCAGCAGCCATGAAAACTGGACTACCAAGGCGAGCCACTGCCCAAGAAACAGCAGCCTCCCGTTCTGATTCTGGAGACAGACGATAAGCCACACCATAATGCAAAGTCAAGTCAACCGCCAACCCGATGGCCACAGTCACTGTCACACTCTCCAAGATATTGAGATGCCATCCAAGCAACACCAATGTTGCCAGCGTCACTAAAATGACAGAACCAACACTTAAAACGGCAAGAAAGCTCACAACTACATTGAGAGTTGTTATTACCAACACAGCCAAGCTGACCCCCACAGCCACAGCAACTGCTATTCCAGTCCCCACAGAGAGAGACTGTTGCAAATCATAGAACTCAAGATAGGAAGTAAACCATCCTCCTTTCATGCCTTCTGGAGCTTCTTTCAGCTGCTCTTTCACCCATGTGTCAACCTGAAAGAATAGAGAATTCATACTGTGAATAAAAATGAAAATTTTTCAAAATAAAATACAGCAGAGTAAGTGCTCTGCAATTAATAGTCATATTAAACTTCAACATTCATTTTTTTCTCTCTCTAATGTAATAAATAAACAATAATGTAACTAAATTACAGAAGCTAAAATGCTCTGTAATCATTGATATCACCCAACTTCTATCGCTATTTTCCTTTTATCTATTCTTCATCCCTGCTTTTAAAGCTAAAGATATTATTTGGTTAAAAGGAAACAAATGACTTCTGCAACACAAAGTAATCTCTCTTGTATTTTGAACATTGTCATGCAAACTTTATATTCTCATATTACTAAGTTTGCATACATTTCTGAATATGGCCTTATATAATTTTAAATTCTAAACTAATGATAGAAGTTATGGTCTTTTCTTGTGATTTATTGCCATTTTCTATTCCCGGTAACCAAAATACTTAGAACAAATCTCTGTCTCCTTTTACCTTGGAAGTAACAAATTCAAAATTCAATTACCATACTACACATATAGAAATAATCATTGGATAAATTACTTACACTGTATCAAAATAAAAGAAATTCATCTATACACCTATGCACACAGATGATAATATTAAATATAAAAATATAAGTAGATTATGTTTTCTATTCTTTTAAGTGAAGAGCTTCCTGTCAAGGCAAAACAGAAATTAAATTTATAATTCTAGCATGTACAACTCAGCTGGAAACCTTACACTTGTCTGTCTATAAATTTCATATACCTGACCACGCTCTATAACAGTCACTTCTGAATATGAGAGATTTTATAGCAATTTAATTCCTATAAGTATATCAGTGCAATTCCAAACTTAGTATTTATACAAAAGTCTGCACTAAAATACTATTGTATATAAACTTCATACATGCACAAATAGATAACAAGATAAATATTTTTTTCTATGCTGATATCAGTAAAGAAAAAAAAAAATAGGGAAAAGATAAAGGAGAGAGAGAGAGAGAGAGAGAGAGAGAGAGAAAAAAAAAAAGTAACTTGATCTTTTGTTCTTTAAATGCTATTAAAAATTATTAAGATAATGCAGTGCATGCTTAACACACAAATAAAAAAACAATTACATAAAACACCTTGTGAATGTGACTTACCTCATGGAAGAAATAATGCATTTCATCGTAGGAGAGCGACCAAATCATGTTGCTGTCGTACTCCACAACAACAGCTGCGACTTTCCCAGTGTTTCTGTTAAACTTTGGTCCAGCCACTCCAGGGATGAAGTACTCTCTTGGTGTTTGGTAAAGAGCTTTGATACCTTTGTGAATACACCGATTAAACACCTCTTTGCGATAAGGAAACTTCGAATCTTCACAACACGGAGACCGATCAATGCCGGTTATAGGATCAATGCATCGCCTCTCCATCCATGCTTTTAACGTTTCAATGAAGCAATTTGGCAGCAGTGGGCCCAGGGTGGACATGTAGAAACTCTGATTCCGAAGATTTCTGCAGAAGTTGAGAAGCCATTCCTGAGATTCCGGAGGTGATACATCAAAGGTATCATCGAATTCCAGAGTTCCTTTTGAAGCTGGATTTAAGTAATCACCATTGTCCACTGGTTTTATCCCCCACACAATGCGTATTGGTAACCGATTAACAATATCACTTCTTAGATTTCTCTCAAACCAAAATTTGTATTTGTACACCAAATCATACTGTTCAAACACATGGTCTCTTGAAAACAACTGAAAATCTTGAGAATCTGGAAGTTTCAGTCCAGGAAAATAAAACACAACCACAGCACTGCATGCTGACAGGGTACCAAGTAACAACACCCACAAGTATCTTGGTTTCACTACAACCCATGGAAGCATCTTTTCAAAAAACACTCGAGCTGACTCTGCACAGAAATAACACAGTCTGAGCGGAAGGGCACAGACAACTGAGCAACGTGGAGGTAACTGTGGAGCATAGACTGGCGCTGGAGGGACGCACAGACAGCATGTTGATGCCCCCCAGCGCTCAGCTACCACAACACATGCTGGAACCCAGGTCAGCATCAGCAGGAGGTTGGCCAGGACCACTGTTCCAGCAAATATACTGAAAAAAGACACAAAATATATACAAACATGTTTAAGAAATCACATTAACAGAATGATAATATTATTGCATTTCTATCTTGTTACTTTATTTTTCTTTTCTGATCCTAATATAATGCAGACATGTACACATACATTCAAACGCACACATGCATTCAATCGTACACACGCATACACATAAAGATAGATAGATAGATAGATATACAAATATAGGTATAGCTATATTCACTTATCAGATATCATCTAAGTAACAGTGTTGTTATTTCATTAATTATCTTTGCATTTTTTCACTTGCACTTATGATTGACCGAGGACAAGTAAAAAAATGAATATGTATCAGTGAAATAAGTTAACATATATTCTAAAAGTACAATTAATACTAAGAAAACATCAACGCAGTAGCATCTGTTTACTTACCTAAAGCAACGGATAGCTGTGATATGTGAAACGCAAGATGCAAAGAAAGCTGCAGCTGTCGTGAATGATGTCACAATAATGGAAGCTGCAGCATGATGTAGAGAATCCCCTACAAGCTTTACCAGAGTGCCAGCGTTCTTGTCTTGTTTGGCCAGAGTCCACACCCGGCAGTAAACAAACGTATCATCTGCCCCAATTCCTGGAGAGAAGATGGAATTATTCAATCAGAGAAGTGAATGACATCATGCATTGTAAAAATATAATGAGGGAAATTCACAAATGATTTCTGAAGTAAGTGCAGGCAAGTGAAAGATTGGCAATGAGAGAATATCTTGCCATTTGAATGCATGTGTACATGTATATGCATCTGCATGCATGTGCCATTCTGATATGGAATTTTCTGTTCTTTACTGCCAGATAGAGTCTTAATGAGATGAGGCTTACTTGAAAATAATATCTCCATAAATTTAAAAGAAAAGAAAACCAGCATGACATATATATATATAGTTATACAAAGGGCACACAATACACCTTAAACCTTAAAGGAAAAATAACAGCAGGATAAGCACAACACAAAAACAATACACAGACACTTAATCTTCAGAACATTTACCTATAGCAATGACTGCTGTGAGCACATTCATGTATGGGAAGAAGGTAATTTCATATATAAAGATATACATGAAATAAGCAATGATGAGAGCGCAGGCAACCGTCGTTATAGTCACGAGGGTTATAAAGAGGGATCCCGTGTAACACCACATCAGAGCCACCACCACACTGCCTCCCACACCCAACAGAAAGGTGTCCTCCAACAGTAACTTGTCAAACAGAGTATATTTCAGACCTGAAAGAAAGGAGACGTATTTTAATTGAACTATTCATACACCCTCACATCATATAAATAAGGCAAGTAAGATGTTTGAGTCCAATCAATCTATTTCATTAATGTAAGTAGTTCTTCCCTCTAAAAATATGAAAAAATATATATATACAATACTAATAAAACTCAATACTTTTTCCAATGGACAAAATTTCAGTACCAGAAGATAGTGTAAGAATGGATAAAAATAATGACATATGATTACTCTGTTCTAAGTATTAGTTGTCAATAAAAAGTTGCAATTGAAGCAGTAACAATAATACTATTTGAAAAAATGATAAATCGAAATATTTATGGACCATATACAGAAGAATTACTTCTGTTTATAAAAACCTTTGTTGTTGTTTTTTTTTGCACAAATCACAGAAGACAACTCTAATAATGATAAAATATATCAAAACATTAATCATATTTTAGCAGCCTACATGAAAATGAAAGTTTAAAATTTAAGAAAATGTATCCACGGCTTCAGGTATTTCAATATCCCTTAATTTACACCTTTATCTCTACTGATGTTAAAAATGAACTCATACAGCCTAATGCCGACAAAAGCAGCTACAGCTTGCCACTAAACATATTACAAAATATCATCACCACCACTCATACTATTGTTAATAATATCCTTTTGTAGGAATAAGCTGGCAAGCACTTTATATAATCAACTGGATTCATTACTTTAGTTCATATAAGTGTGTGATCATTCCGTGTGGTGGTCAAAAAGTTTACTTAGATGAAAGTCCAACTTGCCAATTTCAGAGCATATACTCTTAAGAAATGGCATCTCTCAATACACTTTAAGACATATTATTGTCATGTCCAAGTAAATGTAGAAGGTACACAATTAAACAAAATTGACCTTCATTCTTCAGGGAACATCTCATAGTCTTTTTAAAATGGTAAAGATGAGACACAAGAACTTGAGAAAACTCAGAAGAACTTGACACTAATTAGTCCAGGTGGGGAAAAGAAATGAAAAGAGATTCTATTCTGAATGAATTTTCTGCCATGAATATTAAATAATCCTATTAATTTTCTTTACTGAAATTTAGTTTTCAATTAAATAATACCTCTATCATGGGTACAAAATTTGTACCAATACAAAACTTTCATACTGCCGGCCAACAAATACCTGAAAGAAAATATATATACACACTATACATTTATAAACTAAACCTACCCAAATCCATGGCAGCTACGGTCACATTATCTACAGTGAGGTCAATTTTCTGCAGGGCTTGAAAATAAGGAAGTGCATCGGAGCTACGTGCCACAGGTAAAAACACGGCAGTCAAACTCAGCCGCTGTTGGAGCTGCAGCTTCTGGTGTTTGTGGTGTGGCTCAATGTGGCGATTAAGCTGAGGGTGTTCAGGGTCTGGTACCTGCAACCATTAGGCAGACTACAGTGTGGCTCTACGGGGCAGTACTGTGCATGGTAACTCTTTCACTCTTTTTTTATCATGTTTTAAATAAGATATGTTAAAAGTTTCCTAAAAATCCAGAGCTAAAATTCATTTACTGAAAGGCTATTTATACATCTACACAATATTTTAAAATCACAATAAAGTAAAAGACAAGTAGGGTTTACATTCAGGTCAAGACAAAAGGATGTCAACTGTTTGGAAAAGCAAAAAAATGTAAACTAATAAATTATTCTATATATTTAAAAAAATTGGCTTTACTCTTCATTCACCATGCAAGGCTTCTCTCTACACCATAACTAGTTATTCAGTTTACTGTAATTTGCAAAGGTGCAGCTACATCTGTATTACAGCAGGTCTCACTGTGTACACCATAATATCAGCCCAGTGAGTAGTTCATATGTATTATTGGAGATTACTCTCTGTAGAGATACTACCAAACAAGATAATGATGTATATATACACGATTATGCTAATACACACATACAGTAACTGACTATGTATAAAAAATACCCAACAAGTTCATTTAGTGTTTAAACTAATTACACTAAGAAATCGATGAAAGAAAACCAGGCTAGTTATACCATATGCTTTTTATTAAAATTATCTCAGATTTATCTGATACCTAGCAGTCACAATCAGTAATAACTTCACAGTCTTTTAAACCACTAATTCTGAATATCATTTTGAACACACTCCTTCTACCAAACCTGCTGTCAATCATTTCCATAATACTGCTTCTTTCTTAAATGCATCTGCATGCACTCATTATCTACAAGCAGACATTAAAACAAAATACCTGTCTTTTTTATTTTTACCTTTGGATTTAAAAAGGCTGCATCAGCAAGATAATGGAGTATAGTGTAGACAGCATCATCTTTCCGACAGATCTCAGGAATTTCTTGACACCCTGAAGGTCCCCTACAACCTCCCTCGAGCTGTAAGTCCAAGTGCCGAGCGCATCTGCGAAGGAGCCGCCGCACCTCAACCACGTCAGCTTGCTGGTAAGAAGGATCAAAGGTGATTACAAAACATTGAACTGTTATGTATATGAATCACATATACATTCACTATTTACCTTTGTACTTTGTATTAGGGTATTACCAACAACACATTTTAGTTACCCCCTACATCACATTATCTATGTACACGCATCACCTATCGACAAGTATTTAGACTACTTATCCTCTCATGCAAGAACTTATTAATTAAAGAAGCTGCATCTTGCAAGACTGAGTATACTTAACCGTACTATTGATGGTTATAAGAGAATCCAACATTACAAAGTTGGTGACGAACACGGGATTATCATAAAGGATTAATTAGAGCAACATATTCACACTTTGGAGGTTAGTATCAATTCCAGATGACATGGTGAGTGACATGCTGGGCGCTATATATATATATATATATATATATATATATATATATATATATATATATATATATATATATATATATATATACACACTCCTGCACCTTTTCTGTCTGTACTCTTTCTGCCTTCCCCTTCCTTTCCCTTCCTCATTCACCTTCCTTCTTCTCTGTTCCCTGTCCCTTTTCCCTTCCCCATCCCCCTGTTTTTCAACCTCTTCCTCTCCTTCACTTCCTTTTCTCCTCATGGTCTCTTCCCCTCCCATTATCCCTCCTCCCCCTTTTTACTTCAAGTCCCCTTCCATCTCCCTTTTCCCTTCTAACCTCTCAATTTTTATGTGCTTGTGTGCATGTATGAGTATAAGCTTGCCTGTGTTTGTGTGTATTTGGGTGTGCAAATTTGGTTTCAAATATATGCATGAGAAAGAATGAGTGTACATAAATGCATTTGTATGTATACACTAACACTTGTGAATGCCCTTTATTTGTCCTAATGGACAGTGCAATAAATCTTCGTACATTCATCATATTCACCCTCAAAACCATCCAAAAACAAAATAGTCTTCCAAACATTACATTTTCATCAATGGTTCCTTTATACTGAACACGGACCTTAAGCTAAAGAACCTACTGTGATTTCCCTGCAAGAAGAGCGCTTGGAGAGGAGAGCCACATAGTTGGGGAGGGACCAAGAAGGACAACAGCGGCCAATGGATGTGGTCTCACAGATGGGCCCAAAATCTACTGGGGAACGTAACCGCTCATCCAGCTCGCATATGGCGTGCAGGTGCCTCAGTGTGAGTAAAGAGTCCATTGGGAGTGTGCTCTTTACCACAACATGGCCGTATTCTGGTACTGTGAGAAATCAATAATACAGGTTTTAGTGAAATGTGACACTGATTTTCAGTTAAAATCTTGATCTTGTTTACTCACACACAGACACACAAATGCACACACACGCCCACACTCTCACTCTCTCTATATATATATCATTCTTTTTACTTTGCAGAACAAAATCCAATCTTCCTTGCATGACATACCTACAGGGTTACAGAAGAACCCATCCTCCCCAAAATGTTCATGATCATGAAGATAGTGATCATGCTCATTCTCTGGATAGTGATTCTGGCGATCCCACTCATCCTCCAGGTTGTACTCGGATGGGTTATCTTCTCTGTCCATGAGGATCTTCAGGGCCACCATAGGAGTCTCCTCGCCCATGCCTGTGTTGTTCTGGCCTGAGCTTGTGCTGCAGTTGTCCGATACCTCCACTGGCCCATCTGTCGTCAGCTCGATGCAGATCTTGAAGGGTGTGGATGTGTAGTTATTATGGATACTTTTGGAATAATATCCAAATGGCCCATCTGTCGTCAGCTCGATGCAGATCTTGAAGGGTGTGGATGTGCATTTATTAAGGATACTTCTGTGATAGTACTGAATGTATGGTTATGAATACTTTATCCTTTGTCTTTACTATTTCAAGAGTTTAGTGTTATGTATTCTTATACATCCATATACAATGTAAAAATAATTGAGACAAACTTCTGACAATACTCTACTTTCAAGAAGTCTACACAAACAATTCCTAAGCAATGTCTAATCCTCTACTTATATTTCTCCTTGATGTCAGCCTTTAGCAAAATCAAAATACCATATAATTGCCATCGTTTCACACACACTGATAACAAACAAACCCCCACATTTTCCAACCTCACAAACAAGAATGTACAAAAATCACACAGCTCACTCATCCTGGCCTCTGACGTTAACTTACCTGATGTTTGTGGCTCTTCTTTCCTCCGCTGCTCTTATCCTGCTTGTCATCCTCGTCCGTGATGTGGGGGAGCAGTTTGCTGAGAGTGGGGTCATCTGCCGGGTTGACGCTGAGTAGGCCATTGGCTCGTGTCGAGTCCAACAGGTTCTCCCAGGCCGTGGCCCTCTGGCTGATCTCTGTGCCTCTTGCCTCAAACCCCTGGAGTGAATTTGAATTTGTAAATCAACGTAAGTCTTATTTCATAAACCATTACTTTGGAAAAAAAAGGAAAAAAAATCCTACAACTTATAAGCTTACAGAAAGAAAACATTAATATTCCTCATAAACAGAAACAACTTGATAATTGTGAGTTACACATCTGATAATGGTATCCTTCCCAACAAGGGACCGGAACAAAGAGCAGGACTTACCAGAGAAGGATCCTCAAAGGAGGGCAGAGGCCGGGCTGTGAGAGACAGCACAAGGCACGTCACCACCACCACCACCACACTGCTCAACACCGCATAGGGGTGATGACACAGCAGCCGTGCATACCTGAAATATGAAATATTGGTCACAATAATTCTCTAATAATTTTTATATTGTTAATCACAAAGAGAATTACAAAAACAAGAAAAATATTTCATCGCTATTATCATCATTGTCATTATCAATCTTAACTAATAATAACAATAATATTAATGACAGTAACAATAACAATGATAATAATAATTAGTAATTATAATGATAATGTTCTAACAGTAATTGTTACAATAATAATAATAGCTAATGTAACAATCACAATCACTACCATTAATAACTGTAAACTACCGCCTTAATCAACCATCACAACCCCCACTTCTAAGGCCATCAAACACCCACAATACCACCATCACCCCGCACCCACACCCCGAGCACCCCACCCGCCAACCCACACCCAAACCTGCAAAGGCGAGCCCCAGGGAGACCCCGACGGGCGCCGAGTCCTTACCAGATCATGTTGGCAGGAAGTAGCGAGTCGCGCGGGCTGGCATGGTGCCCCACCCCCCCGGCTTCCACCTGCTCCTCCAACACGCGTCTTCTCTCACACCTGTAAACAAACACACGTGCGTCAGTAAACTGGGGAATCATAGGGAGAGGGTAAGATACTGAAAATCTATTCATTTATTTTTGATTTATTTGTGTGTGTGTGTGTGTGTGTGTGTGTGTGTGTGTGTGTGTGTGTGTGTGTGTGTGTGTGTGTGTGTGTGTGTGTGTGTGTGTGTGTGTGTGTGTGTGTGTGTGTGTGTGTGCGCGCGCGCTTGTGACTGTATAAGCAAATACGAGAGTGTGACAGTATGCGAATGCCCGGCTGTATCAACGGGCGCAATTACATATTAGGCATACAAGTTTCAGTTTCACAAAACTACGAACCTGAATGAAAAAAGCACATAATTACACCGATGACTAACAAATTTCCAAAATAAAAACATAAAAAGAAACTACAAACAGATAAGCGAGGCCGCGGCCCCATCAGACGCCTCAGACCAAAACACGTAACACTAGTAAATAAAACAATTCCCGCTAATCGTATTCATCATTAGCATTGCACGGAGGTTAGGCGCTCGCGCGACAGCCGCCGTGACAGCGTGACATGCCACGAATTAAACAGGCATGCACATAATGGCCATTCGCACTGAAGGACTTTGGGTTAAGCAGCAATACGGTAACTCGGTATTGATATGCTGAATGTGACGAACACTAATGCTCTGCAATTTCTGTATTTCCGATATAACAATACACACACACATACACACACACACACACACACACACACACCACAATACACACACTTACAGATATGGAAATGGATACCAATATTCCTTAAAGCACGCACCCCAACCCCCTGAGCCTTAACATCTCTAAATTAATGAACAAGCAGGCTGCAACGAATCTCGCTCTCCCTCGGCCTGTCTGTCAACCGGACGGACTGAAATAAATCTGTTCCAGGATCTTAAAATAAAAATAATAATAACAATAATTTTTATAATGATAATAATAATAACAATAATTGTTATAATGATAATAATAATAACAATAATAATAATAATAATAACAGCATTTCCTCCACGTGTTTTGCATGTTCCGTAAGGGGACATCCACGCATTTTTTCCATAATTTTCACAAGCTCTTTTTTCCCCTAGACCACCTTTCCTTCCTTTGGAAAAAAAAACGTCCTCTGAACGTCCCTCACTTCTTCCTCCCCTCCCCCTTCCCCCTCCAACTAAAACTTCCCCAATCGACCCCCCCACCCCACTAAAAAAAAAAAAAAAAAAAAAAAAAAAAAAAAAAAAAAAAATCCAGGAGTAAACTCTGGAATCCTCGACGTGAACCCCCCCTCCCCTCCCCTCCCTCCCTCCCCCACGCGAGGCTCCGACTGAGGGCTTCCAGGATTAGCCGCAGAAGGGTTCGGAAGTTGGGAGTCGGACAGGTTGCAGCGTGGATCAGTCAGAGCCAGGGGAGGGGGGGGGAGGAAGGTGAGAGGGGGAGGGAGAGATGAGAAGAAGAGGGATGGGGAGAAAGGGAGTGGAGAAGGAGAGCGAGGAAGGGAGATGGGGAAGAGGATGGTGAAGAAGGAGAGAGGGAAGGGGAAGAAGAGAGAGAGAAAGGGAGATGGGGAAAAGGAGGGGGAAAGGAGAGAGGGAATGGAGGAAGGGACGAAAGGGAGGGAGGAAGGGAGATGGGGAAGAGGAGGGTAAAAGAAGGAGAGAGGGAAGGGGAAAGGAATGGGGGAGGGGAAGAAGAGAGGAAGGGAGATGGGGAAGAGGAGGGGAATGGAGGAAGGGACGATGGGGAGGGAGGAAGGGCGATGGGGAAGAGGAGGGTGAAAGGGAAGAGGAAAGGGTAAGGGAAGGGGGAGGGACGAAGGAAAAGGGGGTGGACAGAAGAGAAAGGTAGAATGAGGCGAAGGGGAAGAAAGAGGAGGAGGAAGAAGAAGAAGAGGAGGAAGAGGAAGAAGGAGAAGAAGGAGGGAAGAAAGGAAGATAAAAAAGAAAAGAGGAACCGTATTGCGACAAATCTAATAAAGATACGACTCGCCCAGAATGAATACCTTCCCAAACCCATCCCTTGTATTGCGAAGATATTCATTCTCACCCATACATTTCCCCCACAGAGCAGAAGGAGGAGACGGACGGGAGGGAGCGCGCCCCAGACAGGTCACGAGGCAGGCTAAGGGATGGAATGGGCTGCCGTCGCGCCTGCAGCCCGGCGGCCCACGAGGTAATCCGCGAGCAGGCCGTCGGGCGCTGTCACAGTCGATATGGACAGGAGATCAAGCGACGCCGCCCCAGACACCACCGAACCTCGTCCTCTGACGCCGGGGAGTCTGCCGCCCGCCCACCTGCCACTCCCAGCAGGGCGTCGCAAACAGAGGCGCCCCGACGCCCACAAGCTGACAGTTATAGGCCTAGAGCAAAATTCTCGACCGCCGCCGAAATTTCGATTCACGTAAACAAAATAAAGTGTGTGTGTGTGTGTGTGTGTGTATGTGTGTGTGTGTGTGTGTGTGTGTGTGTGTGTGTGTGTGTGTGTGTGTGGTGTGTGTGTGTGTGTGTGTGTGTGTGTGTGTGTGTGTGTGTGTGTGTGTGTGTGTGTGTGTGTTGCGTGTGTGCGCTTGCGCGTTCGCGTGCGCGTGTGCGTGTGCGTGTGCGTACGTACAGAACACACGTGCACGCTAAGTTTACACACCCTACTACAGCGCGGTTGCATAAACACCGCACTAACGACGCGAGATACTCCAGCACGCGTTCGAGGAGCAGCCACGGGTGTCGGCGAAATCAAACGCGTTCCAGCAAGATTAGGTTTGTGAAGCCTCGTATCGCCGTAGCTGCAGGAGTGAACTACAGCGACAGGAGCATTAACCTTTAAACTACTTAAGACCAACGATAAATTAAGGAGCAGTCAAGATTAAAACAAAAACATTGCTGTTGTTTGCGTGAGCGGCAGTCTGCATCGCCCCGTCGCCGCCAGCTGGATGTGAACGAAATTCGACCCGCGCCTGGAGAGAGGAAACCATCGCATCGACTTTATCAAAATGCGTATCTGAAGAGAGGCTCGCTTATTGCGCTCCTGATAGCTTTCGAATCTATTCTGTCGGCAGTTCATGAGCGGATAAAACAAGGCGGGAATCTTCTCCGTCACGGAAGCCCCAACGCGATGCGAAACTGACTGACATCCGAGTTGCAAGAACCGCATAAAAAGCGGATCGAAATTAACGGCCCTTTGAGTCATCGGTGTCGACTGTCTGCCGAAGGAAGAAGGTTCCAGACGAAAAGGGCGGCGAGGCCAGGGGGGAAAGGGGGCAGGGGGAGGGAGGGGGGGGGGGGGTTGAGGCAGCAGCCGTGCTAGCTGGAGACAGATGGTGATGCCAGATGATGCAGAATAAAGGTGGGAGGTGAGATAGCCGCTTTAAAGATGCCAGCTGAAAGTCTGTTGTGCTAGCAGATCAAACCACTTGTATTTTTTTCCCCCTTCAAAAGACACACAAGTTTCGGACTTTATCTCAAGATCCCGGTTCACATACTCAGCCTCTCCTCTCCAACCGAATGAAAGTACTCTGTGACATCTTCAGGAAAAGAATGTTTGGGACATTTCGTGTTCAAGGGGGAAACTAAGATGCTTAAAAAACACATAAAACATGAAATAAAAATAAAATGCATTACTATATCAAATGCCAGTCCACGAGGTGTTTACAGGTTGAAGATGGAGGTGAGTGAGGGTGATGCAACCAGAAAAATGAACTGAAGGGACGAGCAGCGTGACGAACGAGAGAGAGTGGGAGGGGAAAGATTGGAGGAGAGGGAGAGGGAGAGCACGAGAGTGTGGGATGGGTGAGAAATAGGGAGAGGGTAAGGATGACAGAGAGAGAGAGACGGGGGTAGAGGCAGAAGGAGAGGGAGAGCAGCAGGTAATGAAGATTCAGAGAGAGAAAGGAGAGGGAGTGTGAGAAAGAGGCGAAGGAGAGGGAGCAGGAGACAAAGATATAGACAGAAGGAGGGAAAGATATATGAGAGATAGATAGATAGAGGAGAGAAGAGAGAGAGAGAGAGAGAGAGAGAAGCGAGAGTTCGGGGACGCCTTCTGCTGGAGCGACGCGTCGGAGGGGGAGTCTCCGAGACCCGACAAAGGTCACGGGGTCACTTAAGATATTTAAAGCCCCGCCAAGAACAGAACCGATACATTGTCTGAGAGAGAGAGAGAGAGAGAGAGAGAGAAGGGGGGAGGGAGGTAGGATGGCGGGGAGGATGTATTATGTAATGAGACAGGAGGACGTACTAATAGGCTGTAAAAATAAATAAATAAATCATAAACATAACCACACCTTTACGACTACACATTCACAGCCATATAGAGACATATCTTAGTCTACCCACAAGTGAACGAAAGGTAAACAAAAAAGAGGGATAAATGTAAACAAAACGACCAATACTGACGAGTCGTCGCGCTACCAAAACAAAAAGACGCCCCATTACTCCTCTTCTCCAACACGAGACTCGATCTTCAGCGAATCTTCCCACCACGCCCCCTCTCTCTCTCTCTCTCCCTCTCCTTCTCTTCCTCTCCCTCTCCCTCTCCCTCTTCCTCTCCCTCTCCTCCTCTTCCTCTCCTTCTCCCTCTCCTCCTTTCCTCTCTCCTCCCGTCCGTTCCCCTGCACCGAATACCGTCACGACACCACCGTTTCCCTCCCCTCCTCTCTTCCCCCTAAAAAAAAATAAACAAACACCCTCTATAAGAAGAAACGAGCAGAGAAGGAGCCGCGGGAGCCACGAGCCAGCGTCCCCCGCCGGTCAGAACAACTTGAAAGCGCGAGCATATATCTGCGGAGTCTTTACGCTGGCTTCGCTACCGTCGCCTCCAGCGCCTGTCGCGAACCTGTCAGGCACGTGTCAGGCGGCTTTCAGGTCGATGGCATGGGTCGAGCGCGCCTCCGAGCCCAGGCGTCCAGGCAGGGGAAGGGTTGGGGGTGAAGTCGGTACCCCAGCCCCCCCCCAACCAAAAAATATATATCTATATATCTATATATCTACATATCTATCTATTTATCTATATGTGT